CGGATGTTTTTGAAACTTAAAACACAGCCGCCTAGGAGGGGAAAAGTGTGCTGAATAACTTTACTTAAAGGGCCAAGCAAGGTTTACTTAGTAAAAAGTTGAGAAATAATTAAATGTTTTTTTGTAGTTTTGGTATAAGTGATCTACGAAAAGAGTTGCTTTTATTTTGCAGATATAATATTTAGTGTAGAACTTATATAGTAATGTATAAGTAAACTACTTAAATTAGGCACCAAAAATGTACATGTGACTAGTTGTAATCTCTAATATAAGGTAACTTCTAATGGCATGCCATGTCTTATATACTTGAATAAAAATATCACATTCTGAAAATAGGAACTTTAATATTTAAAAAAAAAAAATTTGTTAATTGATACATCAGATGGTTATAGTTTTGATATTAATCTTTCAGAAATAATTGTAATATTAGTATTTTTTTTAAAAAGATTATTTTTAGTAGGAGAAACCAAATGACTTTTAAAAGAATTTATTACTAATAGTAATCATAGATTTTTAGTATATAGTATTTAATTATTTCAAATTGCATCTATCTAATATACTGTTTTATTCATCTTTTTTTTTTATTTATTCTAATTATTACACTAGACAGAAACTGAAACCTTGGAACATTTTTTATTTTAAAAATAATCATTGATGGTAATTTTTTACTATCTGTTATTAATGCAAATACAATAGTAAAGCAAAATTTTTCATAGCTACAAGTTCTAATGCTAATGGTTTTACTTTTAGTATTATTAATAGTTACATTATTTGATATATCAAAAAAAGAAAAATTTTGTTTATATTACTTATTAATGATAATGAGTAATTATACTAAAAATGGCAATACTAAACAAAATTTAAAAATTCTTATCTTTTTGTTTTCAAATCTGTAAGTAAAATGTTATATAATAGTTGTTTTGCAATGATTACTAAAATTATAATGTTATAAAAAACCTATAAGCATTTATTACTTCATCTAAACTGACCAATATTAGAATATTGAAAGGTATATTACTAAGATTTTGCTAAAACTGCTATTTTAATATGCATCATGTTACAATTAATTGACTTCAATTCATTATATTGGACTTGAATTCAACTAGTAAATTCAATTTCAAGGTCAGAATATCTAAGCTTCACTCTACTATTGAGACATTTTATATGTGGTTGGACCATCATTAGTTCATCCTATTTTTTATCTCATTCACTAATTTGGTTTGATCAATTTTAAACAGATCAATCATTCCATACACAGTAGCTCTTAGTACTCTTTCTAGCTAAGTAATAATGAAAAACTTTTCCCAGATAGTCTATTGGCAATTTTTGTGCTAGTGAAATTTTGTTGTTAAAATATTTTCTAGAAGCATTGTAATCAAAGTTTCTTTAAAAAAATTTTTTTTAAAGGTTTCTTTCTAAAAATTTCTTTTTCTTAAAGTTTTTTTTACCAGTAAAAAAAAAACTTTTTCTTAAAAAAAAATCTTTAGTGCTTAAGTACAGTACGTATATTAAAAAAAAAAAAACCAATTGCTTTAAAAAAAAGAAGCGAAACCGCTTCAAAAAAAAAAAAATTAGCCAATTTAACTTTCGAGTATCATTTTATCCCTTTGAAATTATTCATGTGTATGTACATACTTTATTGCTCATAAAATTTAAAAGTGTCGTGTAGTATTAAAATTTTTTAGCTTATAAACCATGTTAAAGTGTCTTTACGAAACATGGAAGACCCGAGTATTTTACAAGACAGTTATTTCCACTTAATACGTATATCCCCTTTACACAAGACCCCCATGTAATATATCCTGTGCCATACAATATACCCAGGGTATATATCAAGGTTTGTTGATACGTGGAATGTAAAATACCCGGGTACCTTGCACGGTAAAATACTGTAATATTAAAATGGCACTTAGTTCTTCCGAAAAAGCAGGTGTCGGATATTATTAGATTCAATAATTCTATGTTTGGGTAACCTGTCCCAGATTTATAAATTTATATCAATATTTCTAAATATGTCAACTTAATTAATAACGATAAATAATATTTTACATTACGATTTATTGCACTATGCTATTTATAAATTTATTCAATTTTACTGCATAAATCCCTAAAGACTGAAATGGTTATTTGAAAAATAAGATTCAAATGCTAATCCGTATTGAAATACAAAGAACGTTCAAATAAATTCTAACTTTCCGTTAAAGAAACTTTTAAAAATGGCACATCATAGTGATGAGGTGAATATACTATGAATAGAAGTGTCGTATTGATAGCATTAATTAATAATTTCATGTTTTTGTAAAGACAATTATTTGGGAAGGAACAGTATGGCCTCTGGGTTGTTTATCCCCTTTATGTTGTAGTTCGGGTAGGTTGTCTCTTATTTCGTAATTTTCCCAGTGTCATTTGCTAACATTCTTTCTGATACTAATAGTCCATTGGAAAATCACCAACAAAAGAATTGATTCCATTTCAGGTTGTTGTGGCTCGTCTGAACATACTGTGGTATGTATACTTGATTGATAAAAACCTGCATTTCGAGAGTGTAAAATATATGTACTTGAGGTACTTGAGACTACAAAACCAATTTAAAAATCCACCCTTCATGTGATTTATATAGTGTCTGTATTGAAAAACTCATGCTTAAAGCAAGTAACTAAAATATTCGTTGGTTTTTAGGATGTTCGTCGGATAATTGACTTAGAATTTCATAGATCATGCCTTCAAATGCTTTCTGGCCGTGGAACCTTAACAGTTCATATTGCGTGAGTTTTCAATTATCATTTTTTTAATATTCTTTTTCGAGTTATTTTTTTTTAAATCAAAATAATTTTTATAGAGATAGTCCTCCTATGTGCATTACAACATTTGGTATGAGAAGCGCGTATACAAAATTGAAAGAAGCATGGCTAACTACTAAAAACGTTGTTAACGTTGTATAACCTTTGTTCAAACGAGTTATAATTTTAGAATCTTTGACCATATCACAAAATATACGAGAAAATAAGTTTCCTGGTCACATTTGCATATTCCAATTATTTTATTTAAAAATGTTAGCAGTTTTTTTATTCAAATTTTAACGATGAATATAATAATACATATCTTGTTGTATTGTATGATATACAGTATAATAGGCATAATACAATATAATTATACGTATTGGTTAAATAAACCAAATTATTTTAATAAATGTTATAATATAAAATTAAACTTACCATTATATATGTTGTGTTTGTCCCAAATATCAATTTTGTCATCCAAATTGAACTTATGCGAGTAAAATGATATTTTACTGTATTAAATTCCTCTAAACACTCTTTAATAGAATATCATTTTTTATCAATAGAACAAAAAATTATCAACTATTAATAGCAATGGATGAATAGAACAATGCAATAAAATAATAAAAAATAGAATAGAATAGAATACATTTTTTTATTAATAGAACAAAAAATTGACAACATTGAATATATTGATACCTAATCTTGCATTTGAATTGTTGATAATTTATATTCGCATATTCAATTTATTAAAACAATTATATCCTGAATCTTTAAATATTCAGTAAATATTCGAATATACTAATAGCAATTAGATAAGTTATAAAAATATAGATAAATTTTGATTATATAACTATAAACTATATAGTTCAAAGTTATAAGTATATTCACAAAATTTCTTGCTTTTTTTTTTTTGTTTTATTAAAGCTGGTAATCAAGCAAATGGGTTAAAAACTCTATGTCAGTAGTATTCAGATATTTAATGGATAAAGCTACTTATACAAGTAGTCAAAGCCATTATTTAAGTTGATACCACATACATTAAAAAACAGTTTGTTAAATAATTAATTAATCAAAATTTGCCGGTCAATGGTCAAAAGGCCTTTGGCTAAACTAGTTAAATCGGTTTGTTACATAAATATCGTATAATATATATACACCATATATACAATTTGACTAATTTGACTAGTAGTCAAGATTGACCGTTGACCAGTTTGTGAAACGCTGGTTGAAACTATTGGTAATTAGCATAGCAAAAAATAAATGTGTTACCAATCCGCGGGCAGTTGAGTTAGCTTACAAGGCTTCTCTGGATATCTTGCATTATACCGCATGACTAGTTCTGGTTCATATAGTCGAACATCGTCTAATTGATTGCCAAGGGTTAACCACCCAGGGCGTGTATTGTGTTGACGACCAAATATTTCTAGGTTGAATGCAATATTTGTATGAGATAAATAAAATTAGTCATAAGAAAAAAAAAATGGTACATACCTAATTTACGTGTACCAGGTGCCAAACGATCAATTAGTCCGTAGATTTCATCTGGCTTACGACTTGTTTCTCGAACCTTTTTTAGGAAGAATATATAAATATTAAAAGTTGCTAATGCGTCTATGCCGATAAATTTTAAAGGTATATATATAGTCTTTACCTCTCCAACTAAAACATCGCAATCAAGTCCCAAATTTAAATCTTCAGGATTACCTTTAATTCCAACTAAGCAATGTTCTTTGCTATGATTCAGCCAATGTCCTGTTCTCCCAGTTCGAATAAGCCTCTGTAATTGATTGGTCTTGATCCATACAAGTTCGTCTGCACGATCATATCTGATCAAAATAAACTAATCTCAGTTTTATTAATTAAAAATCTTTAAGCGCCATCAATTCTGAATATCTACCCCCAAATATTCAAGCATTCCCTTCCTAGCTCCATTGCTCTTCCCGTAACCCATAAAAACAATAATCCTTCATCCTGTAATGCAGCAATTTCCATAGCTTTCATTTCATCATCAGTCATAGTACCGTAGGGGAGCTGAGACAAATCTTTTTGTGAGATCATTGAATAATTAATCAATTTAAAAATTGGTGAAATACGCTACCGTCATATGAATATCCCATGGTGGATCAGCCATGATGACAGTAAACTTTCCGAGAATTGAAAAGTCAAACTTCCGTACGTCGCAGTTGATCCATTGAGGAGGAAGCTAAGCAAAAAGGCAAGGAAAATATTTCATTAACATAAAAAAAACATAGCATTCGAACTGTTTTAGTATAAAAAACGAAATCCTCACCACTTTTGTTGGTGGAATGAACACCTTAAATTTTAAATAAGTGTTAAATGTTTCCTAGATATGAATATAAATAGATATAAATTAATTAACGGCAATTTCTTACCACTGCAGGCGGTATTTGTCTTCGTTGAATATATGTCCATTTTTCATCTTCTTCATCCAGTTCATAGTGTACGTACTTGCAAGTGTCCATCCTATGACAGGTATTAAGATATGAACAATCACCTAATTCTAAATCTGTATGATGTCGTAACATTGGGCGGAAATGAAGCTATATAAAAATGAATGTGATAATTTAATTATTTAGTAAGGTCATTAGTAAAAGCGATTATTGTAAAATTTACGAACCCTTTTGCAAGCTCTAATTGTTTTTCGACGCTTTTGACAATCAGCTTTTGTACCATAAACACAAAACTCCCGAAACGAGTTGTTTGTCGATCGAAACTGTGTCAGGAATAAAATTTTAAATTAGTAACATTAAACAATAATAAATTATATCATAAATGTAGATTAATCGTTACCATCTCAATTATTAACTTGTCATGAGAAGATTTTTTATTTAACATTACACATAGATCATGCAACGGCCCATTCTCTTCTAATTCTTTAAATGATGGTTTTGCAAGAAGTTTATTTATTTCTTTTGCCACTAGAAATTATATCGGAAAAGTAAGTAAACATCAAACTATTAAATAGGTATCCCCAGATAGCTTTATATACAGAATCTTATTTTAAATGGGAATAATAACTGATAAAATCCTTTACCAATTAAAAAAAAATTCCTATAAATAATTACCATCATCGTCGTCGTCATCTAATATACTAACAATTTTACGCTTCTTGTTGTTATTACTTGCGCAAGTGGTCAATTGTAACGATTTTTCTAACGATGAAGGATCTTCCGAATCTAAAGCACTATATTATTAACATTTTCCCATAAACAACAAAAGATAACATACATACTTTAGTGTTTAAATAATTATCATAATAAATTATATATTCAAGCCAGAAGATACCTTTCAATAACTTTAACAGCATTCAACTTTCGAAAATCAACCTCTTCCACTAGTAATCTCTTATTCCCACCAATTTGTTTTTCTTTCACAGATATAGCTTTAGGACCCCATGTATTTGACAAATTCTTAAGTGCAATCTCGAGATTTTTTAAAGACGTCTGTGTAAAAGGAATGCGGGGATTACTTTGCCATACAGCAAGCCTACAAATAATTATAAAGTATCTTTTAGTATTTAGTTAGAGAACAAGAATTGGCTCTTATAAATAAATCACCTTTTAAGTAGATCATAAGAATCTAATGGTAATGGTAATGAGCTGTCATTATGTTGATCGTTCGTAAGATAGTTCAATATAAGTTTCTCATAAACCGTACAAGACGGCTCTCTTGAGCTGGTAGTAGTGACTACAAATCGATTAATTGAGGAGGTAGACGATCGCACCGAGAATGCGTCAGATCTGCATACCGAGTTCTCGCATTGAGAAGGCGTCTTGTTACTAAGATTACAAAGATCCGGACTACCATTTTTAGCTTTGTTTCGCTTTTCAAACCGAGTTTTACGAAATTGTAATTTCTCACGATTTCGGTTTAATTCTTCTAATGTAGTAAGCTTCGTTGTCGCAGAATTTTCCATTTGTTCAAAAATCAAAGGATGTGAATTCGTTACCCATCAAATCAAACGTGCTTAATGTTCTTTTGATAATCCATGCATTCTCGGCCAATCAGAATCAATCGATAGTTCAAAGCTCAAAATACAGAAATAAAGTTGTGTACGTAGCAAAATTCTTACAACTCTGTGCCAAAATATCTTAGTCCCATTTATTAATCGTAACAGCCCAAATAAACGGCATATTAAATTCGTCTTATATATTTATTTAATAGAAATTATAGATACATACCAAGATACTGTATACATATTTAAGGATTTAAAAAAAAATTGCGTACTTATCAAGATACGTACAACTAAGTGCGAGCTTTCTAAATGCAGGTCTTAATAAAAAATTTTCATTTATTTATTATAAAACGCACCTATGGATTTAGCATGTTTTATATATTTTCTAAGTTTTGTATATAAAATTTTTAACGCAAAATTTTCCATCAGAATTAGTATTTAGGGTTAAAATTAAGGGTTTTTTGGTACGTAAAACATTTTCACTTAGAATACCCGCACCGATTAATTAGCTAGTTTTTGGGATAATGTGTTCATAAGTGTAAAATAAAGTTTGGAACCGATTATATTTTTTTGATAAAGCGATATTAGGTCTAAATTCAGTGTTATTATGTGAATTCTCAAAATAACGGGTATCTTTCGATTACGTACTCACGATTGACATAATAGAAATTGTCTGCACGTGATAACCATGTTAGTAAAACATACGAGCCGAATTATTATAGAAGTACGCGTTAATTTCAAGACTAACTAGGTAAATTACCATGTTTGGCAAATTACAGTCGGATACATTTTTAAGGAAAAATTTCTTCATCTAGGTAAGTATGATTCAAAGAAATGCATGTCTACGTCACATGATGCTGAATTCGACGCGCAGTATAGGATTAATTTTATTAGAATTAGATAATTGTATTGATTGGTAACTTTTAAAAACCCAATGTTTACATCACATTTTGTTATTCTTTTAAGATCGTAGAAGCGGCCTTTCTTAACCGATTCATTACGGCCAATCCTTCATTCATCTCAGGAATTCCTTCTACAATTATATAATCTACTTTACGTTCATCAAGAAATCTTAATCCCTTAAATAGTTCCTTAGCAACTTGTTCGGGATGAATTGAACTACCTAATGAATATTCTATAGTATTATTGTTATTCGGTAAATCAAAATCATTTATTAATGTATTAGTATTTAAATCAAGCTTAGATTCCTGCACATCATTTTGTATATTTATATTATCTGTAAATACTAAAATTCCGATCTTTTTCGCTCCATCATTCTTAATTCTCCGAACTTCTCTTTTTAATATAGTTTTTGCCTTAATCCTATCACCATCAAGATCAATTAACACAACTTTAGCATTAGGGGAATAATGACGATATTTCATTCCAGGAGTTGTAGGTGCCATTTCAAGTTTCTTGTCAATAAAGTCCTTACTATAAACCCTTAGATTTTCAAACCCCGGAATCTGAACCAACGCCTCAAAAGTAACACCTCCAGGGCGTAATATAATTGGATCCTTAGAGCTAATCGCGTCTAGAACTGTAGATTCTACGCCAAAATTACATTGTCCGCCATCGATTATTAATGGAATCTTATTGTTTAAATCTGTCCAAACATGAGATGCCAAAGTTGGTGAGGGCTTTCCCGATGCATTTGCCGATGGGGCTGCTAAAGGAAATCCACACGTTGATATTAAAGCTCGAGCTATTGGGTGCGAAGGAAATCGTACAGCAACCGTAGGTTGGTTGCAAGTGACTTCTAAAGGAATTGATTCAGGTTTTGGTAAAAGTATTGTTAAAGGCCCAGGCCAAAATTTTTTTATAACAGATTCATAAATTTTAGGAATTTCTGTTTGATCTGGTAATAAATATTCTTTTAACATTTTTAATGATGAAATATGAACGATTAATGGATTATCCAAAGGTCTATTTTTTACAAAATAAATTTTTTGAATCGCTTCTGAACAAAGTGCATTCGAAGCCAAGCCATAAACTGTTTCTGTCGGTATAGCAATGACCTGATTTTCAGAAAGTAGCTTTTTCGCATTTCCAAGAAGTTCCTTTGCGTTTGGGTCAGTGGTAGTGAATTGTGGATCTTCAAGATCGTTATCAAGAAATGTAAAAGAATTTGGATCAAGAAGTGAAATTTGTGTATTCATAATTAAATATTTATTTATTAAATATTTATTATGAGTATAATTTGAAATGTTATTATTGGCTTTTAAGATATAATTAACATTCGACCTAAAATATCCAGCATAATACATTCCAAAAAGAAATGATCAAAAAACACCTTATATAAAAAGTTTCTTTGGCCAATTAAATTTTAAGATCTGATGTAACACGAAAGTACCATTAATCGGTCCGCAGCAAGGTTTGTAAAAAAAAAATTGGCGTTTTTAACTGGTCTGCGGTCAATAAGTAAAAGTTGCGGAAAGTTCTTTTCTATAATTAAAGTTTTTGAGTCATCTAAATTACTTAAAAATTAAATTATTAACCTACAACAGCACTTGCTCAAAATCGATTCACAATTGCTGCGGACCCTATTAACCTGCTAAGTAGTCAAAAAGGGTATCTTTTTACAAAACTGTTATTTGAAAAGCAGTATTGGTTTCAAATGTTTAAAAAGTCTTTAATGTTATACTGTACGAAAATAAAATTGATAAATTTGTAAAAAAAAAATTCGGCATTATAAATCAACACTAGTAGTGTTAACATCACAGTTTCTGTATCTCAAAAACTGTCTAAATAACTAAGCCCAGGTATATTAAGTAAAAATGTCAGCATCCAAAATACCTTACCTCAACTAGAAATGTTTATACCTAAATGGTCCTAGTTAAATTGCAAATTTTTACTTTTCTTTATGAGCCATTAACAAAAGTTGTGCAAATAAACTTTTTAACATATTGCAGAATTTAGATCAGTTGATTTATATATACCACTTTGATATTCGTATATTTGAGAATAAAATAATGAATATTACGTCTAGACATTAATAAGTGTAATGTCGGCGAGAATCTCTTCCATTACATTTATTATGATGATGTTAAGACAATAATGCCGATTAGGATGGATATTTGCGCAAAAAATAATGATGATTTTCTGAATTTTATTAATCCATCTCTTTTTTATAGATGCGATTTATTAGAAACGAGCTAGTGTCATGAAAAGATATGGGGTTTCTTACGAGAAAATTTTGAAGAAGTAAATTGAAAAGATTTAGCTTTAAAAAATATCCATCTTTTAATGGATAAAATCAAGGTAGTCGGTTATCTGTTTTCTTTGAATTTTATTTCTCCAATCTTTTAGAAAAAAGATACACCAACACACGGTTACATTTTCACAAAATTAAGTAATATAGATATTAAATTATAAAAGATGATCCGTTGTATATTAGAGTAATTGATCTTAGTTCAGAAAGTGATTACGAATCTATTGTAGCATGTATATAATGTTTGTATTTTTGAGATTGAAATTTGTCTGATGAGGTTTCTAGATCCTGTATCTAAGATATAAATTAATATTAATAGGGGACAAAGGCTAATATGGGGTATTATCTATTAAAACAGCTCATTTTTACATATAAACATATTTCTACTGATTCAGAAAAAATATCGAAGCATTCCACTATTGATGATATAAATGAGAAAGACGTATATGTAACTTTCTAGTCGCATGATTTACGACTTCTGTTCTGGCAGGCAGTTTACTTAAATGTCATCTTATCTTAAACCACATATCTAAAAGTTAGATGTGAAAGGTATCGTTAGTAAGCATGAGTTTTGTAACTAGGTTTTTGGCAGTAAAACCACCTATTGTAGACCCGAAAGTTTAGTGTTGGGTAATGTCAGTACTTGTTAAAGAATTACGTATTTTCAGTGGCTTATTTTTAATTGGTAATCTTATATTTGATCTCTAAAAATTTCAAGTGTGCTAAGTATTGCTTTTCTGTACAAAACTATATATGGGTGCCGCTAAGTGAAAACCTGACATTCTAAAAATAGATTTCTATGGGCAACGGAATACTAGAGTAATGAATTACGTATACTGTTTTTATGATCACAAGTAGTATCATTTAAAGTTTGAATTCCGTTGTCCGTAGAAATCTATCTTTATAATGTCAGGTTTTCACTTGGCAGCATCCATACGTAATAATTAACTCTATACCAATATAGCAGACAAATTTTACCAAATTAAAAATTCTTTATTGTATATATTTACACAAAAAAAGTTTTTTAATGCATAATTTAAATTAAAAAGATGTTTATAGTATAAACTAGAATTATGGAAATGCCCATATAAATTTTATAGTGTCTATAAGGTAAGCATGAAGCAAATTCACAAAGAAAATAAAAGATGATGAAAAACTATATAATCTAATAAGCTCTATTCAATAATTGCTAAAATGCATTAATCCAATTCAAGACGATTATCCTCTTCTTCATTTTGGTCAATAGCCATTTCTATTTCGTTATCATAACTGCCTACTCCATGATTTCTTCTCAACATGATATCCGCACCATCATCCGTAGTTGTTACATAAGCCGTTTCACCGTTTCGAACTCCACCATCTATATAATTTATAAGCATAAGAATCACTACATCATATATAACTAACGATCATGATAAAAACATCATGATATATCATACCTATTAAGAGCCTGCTTAAAGGATTCAAAATTTTATGCTTAATCAGCCGATTCAATGGACGAGCACCATAAACAGGGTCGTAACCATTTGCTGCCAGCCATTCTTTAGCGTTATTATCTATATTCAAACTAATTCGTCGTTCTTGTAAACGAGCATTAAGCCCATTCAACTGAACTTCAACGATTTTTCGGATATCTAAAGAATGAATTAAGTATTTGAGATTAAATATAAAAATTCTTATAAATATGAATAGCTTAGGCATGTATATAAAAAACATACGTTTGCGTCCTAGAGGTGTAAAAACGATTATGTCGTCCAGACGATTTAAAAATTCAGGCCTAAAGTGTCTTTTAACATCACTCATGACTGCCTCTCGAATACTATTAGTTATAGTGTCCGTAGTTAAACCTTGAAGATGGAAGTATCCCAAATTACTTTATATATAAAAAAAAACCCCATTGTTAAGTATTATACATGAAAAAAAAAACGAAAAAACCATTAATAGACTTATTAGATTTTTACCTTGTCAAGATAATTACAGTGTTACTAAAATCAACATGTTTGCCTTGCCCATCAGTTAAGCGACCGTCATCCAAAACTTGCAGTAAAATATTAAGAACTTGAACGTGGGCTTTTTCTACTTCATCAAATAAGATTACACTATAAGGACGTCTTCGTACTGCCTCAGTGAGCTGACCACCTTCATCATGACCAACATATCCTGGAGGTGCACCAATAAGGCGAGCAACTGAATGACTAAATAAATAATACACCTCATGTTATTAAAAGCAAAATATAATTAAATCAGATACTATTAAAAAATTGTATATATACCTTTCCATATATTCTGACATATCTATCCTTATTATGTATTTTTCATCATCAAAAAGTTCTTGTGCAAGAGCCTTGCTGAGTTCAGTTTTACCAACACCCGTTGGACCAAGGAATAGAAAACTTCCAAGTGGTTGATTTTCGCGCGCCAATCCAGCGCGACTTCTCAACACAGCATTGGCTACCGCCTGTACAGCCTCATCTTGTCCAACAACTCTTTTGTGAAGGGATTCAGCAAGGGAGAGTAGACGCTCTGCTTGAGATTTAGATAATCGTGAAACGGGTATACCGGTCCACCGGGAGACAACGTCTGTAATCTGTTCAGGACCAACCACTTCAGTCAGAAGATTTGTGGTATCGTCTTTAGTTTTTTGAGATTGTAAAGTAGCAATACGTTGTTCAACTTCAGGAATAGCGTAATATCTGAGATCAGCAGCTTGTTCAATGTCACCACGCATTTCTGCATAATCAGCCTTATTTTTCAACTCATCTAATTTTTGCTTAAGAGCTCTGAGTTCATCAAGTCGACTTTTATCATGATCATATTTTGCTTTTAGTGGTCTCAACTGTTCTTGGATATCAGCCATCTCTTCCTTAACTTTCTTAAGACGTTGATGACTAGGTTCATCTTTTTCTTTTGCTAATGCAGCAGCTTCGACTTCTAGTTGTAAATGACGTCGTTCTAATTGATCAATAACTTCAGGTCTAGAATCAAGTTGAACACGAGTATTTGCACAAGCTTCATCCATCAAGTCGATGGCTTTATCTGGCAAGAATCGATTGGTAATATATCGAGCAGACAATTGCGCAGCAGCGACAAGGGCAGCATCAGTAATCTTGACACCATGATGAGTTTCATATCGATCCTTTAGACCACGTAATATACTAATCGTGTCAATGACCGAAGGTTCACCAACTAAGACTTGTTGGAATCTTCTTTCAAACGCGGCATCTTTTTCTACATGTTTACGATATTCATCTAAAGTGGTAGCACCAATGCAACGTAATTCACCTCTGGCAAGCATAGGTTTAAGTAGATTTGCGGCATCCATTGAACCTTCAGCTTTACCAGCGCCTAATACCAAATGAATTTCATCAATGAAAAGGATGATGCCTTCTTCAGATTCTTTTACTTCTTTTAAAACTGCTTTCAAACGTTCTTCAAATTCACCACGGTACTTGGCACCAGCTAAATATAAATATATATATTATGTTAGAATGAATAAAATGGTGTAAGTTTTAAGAATTTTTTGAACGTATATATTTACCGACTAAAGCGCCCATATCCAAAGAGAAAAGTCTGGCATTTAATGATCGTGGAACATCCTTTCGTACAATACGCTGTGCAAGACCCTCTACTATGGCGGTTTTACCGACCTTTAAATTACATAATAATTAAGATTTTTTTCCTTTTAGGAATTATTAATTTATCTAACAAATCGCAACTTACTCCTGGCTCTCCAATTAAAACCGGATTATTCTATCATAATTAAGAAATGATAAAATATATTAATATCAACATACAAATTATATATTATAATCAGTAAAACTTTAAACTACATCCAAAACAATATATATATACTTTTGTTCGCCTGGCAAGGACACGAATAACGCGACGAATTTCATCATCTCTACCAATTACGGGATCGAGTTTACCGTCTTTTGCTAGAGCAATTAAATCGACGGCATATTTACTTAGAGCCTCGTAATTTTCGTCGCCACTCTTTGATTCCACTCTTCGATTTCTGTTGTTAATATATCACGTGTAAATAACCTTATAGTTAGAGAAAGCAAGATGAAAAAAAATAGACATTATAAAATACCCTCTGACTTGATTAATAGCCCTTTCTAAACTTTTTTTATCAATGCCAGCCTCTTTAAATGTTTGTAATGATTGTGTATCTTCTGTCAAAGCCAAAATTAGATGATCCTGAGAAATATAACTATCTTTTTGACGTTGTTGAATATCATGGGCAGCTCTTATAACTTTATTAGCTTGAGGACTTAATGATAAATCTGTTGGTGCAGGATCTTGCGTTGGCAGCCTAGCCAAGATTTTTTTAAAATGTCTTTCAGCGATCGTTGCATCACCACCAGCTTTATTAATGATATTTTTGATCAACGATTCACCATCGGAATCATCAAATAACGCGCACGCTAAATGAGCAGGGACCACTTGAACATGAGCGTAATCGCGTGCAGTTTGTATAGCATTGGCAATTACTTTTTCTGTTTTATCCGTGAAATTATAATTATTCATGATTTATAGAACCTACAAATTTTACTATATATATTCTATGTGGAATAACGATAATCATGATTAATAATTTAATATTATCCTACAAATTATTAGATAACTTAAAGAATCATAGCTTACGTCTTTTATCGTAACACGAGACGAAGAATTAATATAACAAAAAGTGATTAGTTTGCACAAATAAATTTTTAATGATGAGTAGCTTGCGTGCAAAACAAAGTTTAGTATTTGATGAATAATCTTTTATCGAAAGGAAAATTAAAGCACTATATATATTTTATCAAAATTTAGCTTGAAGATTGAAGATGATTCTGGCAACCGTTACGTTAAGATCAGTCGATATTTTTTAATTAATTAGTTTACATTAACATTAAAATATCAGTTGTGTGACGATTCCATTATTTATTTATCGATCGATGTACAGATGTCGTGCAGAAATGTAAATATTACATAGATGAATGAATATATAAGTCGATCAATCATGATTGAAGAAATAAAGAGGAGCATTAACCTTTAGCCATTTCAGATCAAACTTGTAATTTTAATCCGGTGGATGCGCAGTATGTTATAATGGTTACCTTATTGCTGTATTGTAAAATTTTATGAATTGTAAAGCTTAAGTAATCTCCAATACGGGTATTTGGCAATTTCTAGACAACTTGAGAAGTCACTAGAAGTTGGCCCTCGATGCTTTGGGGATACAACAATTGGCCAGAATTAGAGTTAACATATGTCACTGTTGTGTCCATAAGCACATGAATGTTGTGTAAAAATGAAATGATTATTCAGCAGATCGACCAAAATCCAATAAAATAACCCACGTACTAAGTAAAGCTGCCCAGATGATAATTTTACTGTAGTATACTTGACTGGTATTATTTCTTAATGCCGGCCTAAATTTGGGTCGTTCTGTTGGATTTTGGTTGCTCCAATTAATTGCCGGATGTGATGAATCATTTTAGATGACAAATAAGGATTTACTAATTGATTAATCTTTATTCGTCACTCAAATTATTCATCACACCTAAAATTAACTCGGTAGGCCTGGCTACGCGTGACCTTGTCCCAACGTCGATTGGATTCGGAGTCACTAACCCAAAAAGTAATGCAATACGTAGTCGCGTTGGAGTAATGCGACACATTGTCGCGTTTGCAAATGACAATATCATGATATGTTTATATGATACGGAGTCACATAAATCATATGTCATATATATAAAATCATGTCATATTATTAGTATATGACATATCATATGATATTGTGATATGACAATTCATATAAGTCATATCGATATAAGTCATATAAGTCATATGACATCATCGTCCAACACTGATAACTTAAGTCGTAACATTTTTTTCTATATCGATATGACGTTGGTTATATAATCATATGAATTTAAGGTCATAGGCCAACACTGCGTTGGAGTAATGAGGCAACATATAGTCGCATTGGAATTCGAAACACAAAAAATATATCATAATACCCAAAATGGGTGGGCTACTATGCCCAAGACTTTTTTATATCATGTCCAATGTCTAATGTCCAAACGTCTACATGTCAAAGAATGTCCATAGCATATAAGTAACAAGATTTATTAAGATCACTTGTTAGTCTATTGCGTCACAAAAAAAATCATGCCCCTTAACTTTCATAATTTACAGTCGGATACTTTTTATCAGCTGATCAAATTTATCATTAAAATAACTTTTCGATAGTAGTCTAAATCATTATAAACTACAATTATCTGGAATACGATTAAAATATCACCGCAAAGCAAAATAGCATAATTCTTGCCTCTCGGAAATTTTTGCTTGGGCTTATCAGACCCTTAAAAAATGTGATAATAATGCAGACTCGTTTCACATATATTCACATGATTAAATTCTCCAGGGGTGATAAGCTCGTGTCCTGTAAAAGTGAAATTTCCGAAAGTGAAGAATTACGGTTTTCGCTTTGCAGAACTCAAATAAAAGTGTTTGTTTGTTAAAAACGTTTTTGATATAAAGTTGATATAAAGTTTATATAAAGTGTGATATCAAATTATAATATTGATAGTTGATCCATATTACACTATCGATTTCTAAATCAGGTGTTTTATTGATATTTGTTCACCCTAAACGCTAATGTGAAGACCAAATTAATATACTTTTTATCTTCCTTTTCAATTAATAAATGAATTCATTTCGTTTAAACGTTCAATCTATTACTATCGAAATTTTCCAAGACTCTCTTAAATACACGCATCAACCTACTCAAAAGGAAGTCGTACTTGACCATGATAGTATTGAAAAAGAAATTGCTAATGCAAAATTTTATAAAGACGGTTCAGAAATAGTTAGACCCATCTTGTCCGTAAAACAAGAACATCCTACCATTGAAATTTATAATGGTGATTGTTTGAGTTATGCGTTGGATATAAAGAAAAATTTAGGATTAAATCCTGTTGTACTTAATATGGCAAACGATCAAGTTCCCGGTGGCAGTACGTACTGAATTAATCCTTCCGATTTATATTTTTGGTAACTTTTATTATATATTGTCATATAAAAGATTATCTTTATGGTGCCGGTGCTCAAGAAGAAAACTTATTTCGTCGTACCAATCTTTTTCAATATCATGAACCAAAACGCTATGAATGGTATCCTATTCCCAATGCGGGTGGGATCTATTGTCCAAATGCTACCGTGATCCGTGCAAGTGAACAAGAAAATTATATGTTTTTGGAAGTCCCAGAAAAGATGTCATTTGTGGTATACTATATACTTATTATTATTGCTATACAAGAAGATAAATTTATTATAGTTTAATTTTAATTTTATGAGTTTTGCTCAGGCGGTTGCTGCTTTGTGTCAACCGACTCTTGTAAGAGATTCCGATGGTAATGTCACTTTGGCTGATGATGAAAAAGAATTAACACGACAAAAAATTCGTTCAATGTTGAATATTGGTTTGGACAATGGTATGTGTTTTTTATTCTTTGTGTTATACAACACTTTGTCCTCTGCGAAAATTCTCATTTAACTAACAAATTTACTATAAAAAAAAATCATGATTTATTTGTTTCGATATTACTCAATCTTTGGTTATCTAACTCCCTAATATCTTTCATGTCCAAAAGGTCATGATTGCATAGTCCTTTCTGCTTTTGGTTGCGGTGCTTTTTCCAATCCACCTTCGACTATAGCTCAATTATTCTATGAAATAATTTCCCAGGAGTACGATGGTGATGCCGAAAATTTACCAAAAACTTATCGTCATATTGGCTTTGCTATTTTTGATGATGAAGCTGCAACGCAGTGGAAAGATGGCGAAGGTAATTTTTTACCTTTTAAAAAAGTATTTGCAAATGGATTACATTCCAGCCGTCAACCGAATGAATAAATACTGAATAGTTTTGTATGGAGTATTTATGTATATTTTATTGTATATTTATATTATCATTGTCTTAACCAATAGCTGTGGTTATAATGGATCCATTTGTAAAATATAACAATAATAATATTGTAATATAATAAATATTACAGATCATGATGAAAATGGATCATGCTGAATAAAAAAATGGGGTTTTATAAAAGTATTGAATTTTAAAACTAGTATATAATTCATGCCAAAGGCATGAAACCAAATTTTTTAATTTGTTGAATTTCATAAATAACCATTGAAATAGTGAACGCAATTCATAGTTAAATCTTGAACCTTCAACCATTAAATTACACTATTGAAACGCTCACAGTTGAAATTACTATCTATATATTATTAAATCAAGATCCTGTTTATTGCAAAATCTCAACCATACTTATTATTACACACTAGTGATCTCTATCTTTGCTGCTTATGTTCATCCCTTTCAACTTCAATTTTATTAAGTTAATAATATCTGACGTTGTATAATACACTAGCTACTTCCATATTTGCTGCTTATGTTCATTCTTTTCAACACCAATTCCATTAAGGTAATAATATCCAACATTGCATAATCCACTAACAACTTGCGTCTTTGCTGCTTATGTTCATCCTTTCAACTCCAATTCCATTAAGATGACAATGTTCAACATTGTACATTCATCTTTTTAAATATTGGAGTTGAATAATTTGAAAAGTTGTAGTATGTTTATTAAAAGTGTTGGAGAATGTTAGTAGTAGATCAAAGGTTGTTTTGAAGTTGTTATAGTCTTATTTGAGTACTAACACAGGTTGAATGAATGAATAAAGGGTGAATAATAGATAAATAACAGAAAAAAAAACTGCCATTATTCTACCCTATATCCGCCAAATAATGACAGCATAACAGCAGCATAACAGTAGAATAATAGTAAAATAACAGGAGGTTTGTCAATATGAGTAACATAATAGTAAC